CAAAATAAATCCCACTTCGACAAACGCTTGGTGCGAAAATTTTAATCCGAGTGCGAATTTAATATGTACATACGCTTATTTGATACTTGGCAAAGTCAACACGCCGCGGCAGCGGCGCCCGGCCGGGGCGAAAAGGGAAATCGCGGAAATCTAAAACGTATAAACGCAACTGCCGGCAGAGGCAGACAGATTGAACGGTGCATGAACAGTGGCGGCGGCACCGGTGGCGGCAAGTACTTGTTGCGTACTTACTTGTTGATTGCTTACAATTTCAGCTCATCGATCGGCATTCATATTACAATCACGTTCTCGGATTACGATTGACTACCTCCATTGTGCGGGCGACGCGCCCCGCCGACTTAACATAATTTATCAACGTCACTATCATATTCCGCCACCCGCTTCCAACCATTCAGAACTCTTGTGTCCTACAAAAAAAAAGACACCGGTATAAATGCACAAAGCGCATCCTGGATACAAAAGCATTTTTGCGATGCCACATGCATGCAGACGTGTCGTAATTGCATTATTACACAAGTACCATATTCTCAATTGAATCACATAACCATGAGCTATGCGAATGGCCCACATGACACGCGACAATTGATATGTATATGCATGAGGGGTTGGATGACGGCCGTTTCGGCGTGTAAACACACCGGGCTACAATGCACCGCATCATTGCCGTCATAAGCTGATGTGTTGCGGCCGATCAGTTAATATGGCAAATACGTCAGGTGCAAGCGCGCAAATATACAATGGCACGCATGTGGGGTCCACTTAATTCTTGTTGTTGGAGATGGGTTCCGGGCCTCAGGCGCGCCATTATTGCACCGGTGCGTCACCATCACCCGCGCGCATGGCCATTAGCCAGGGCCTTTGATCTTTGATCTTTGCTTTCATGTTCAACAACGTGCTACACTGTATCTACATTTTTATGAAGCACACTAGCGCGGATGTTTTTCCCTTTGGCGAAGGAAAGCCCTATAATCGCTGTAAAACTAGATTGATCCCAATGTTCCGTACGCCTCTTGATGTATTAGATTGTTTGCGCTGGCAAGTGGGCTGAATAAAGCGGAACGTAAACAAAAACATCAACAACAACAGTCGCGCTAGTGTTTTTTGTTTCGTCCGTAAATTATTTCGAGGGCATTTAGCGTGTGTACCGAGCTGATATGAGCGTGTTCGCTCACGTATCGGCCGGATTGATGCGAATTATTCAAATTTGAGCTGCGCACGCGAGACGCAGCCAGCGTTATTATTCAAATGTATTCATATCCAAACACTATTTGTATACATTGTTACTTAGCCACCGTCGGCGGCGGCTTCTCGATGCCGAGTGCGAGCGCCGCGCCACAACTCATTAAAAACTCTTGATTGCGAACGAACTCCGAAGTCAATAATTTTATCACTGCGCGACGCTCGCTTAACTAGTGACGGACGGAATGAGGCGTGAAGCCGCCAGGAGCAAAAAGTCATCACTAGCCGAGCAGCAGCAGGAAAAAAACTTTGATATGGGTTGGTGTGGTGGCTGGTGTGTCATCGTGAATATTGCAGATGTCAATTATTTTCTTTCGGACGCGATTTTTTTTTGTCCGGCGGCTTGGCGTGCGAATTGGGAATTTCCTGGTGGCAAATCCCGTGGTGCGCATTCCCAGTGCTCGTCAGGTCGGCCTGATTCCTTTTGAACACGCGGCCCGCGGAGTGCCCTCGGCGTTTTCGGCTAACCGAGTAGTTTGGGCATATCGCAACATAGAAATACCCACCGCCTGCATATTAATTAGCTTCCCGAACAATGGGAAATTTTCCCGCTCGCGGGTACGTGCTCGCATTTACGTATTGCGTTTATTTTATATTAATAATTAATTAATTTAATAGATAATTAATGTTCGTTTAGTGCGCCGCATTCGGAGCGCGCGGGTTGAATTTTTTTCTATTCTGGTGTGCACTGCGGCAGCTAATGCCCACAACGAGCTTGCTTGTTTCGCACAAATCGCTCGCCATTTATATTTTCATTTGCACTGGTAATGTGCCGCTTGTTTGACTGCACGCCGCCGGAGCGCTTTTTCCGCCGCCTACAACATGCACGGCTTACAAATTGAATTTGTTAACTGCGCCACATGTGATAATACAGATACACAAACCGAGGAACAAAGCAGCGGATGCCGGGCTCGATCTAAATATAAAAAAGTATTAAATTTAATCATCTGTTGAAATTGATGTTATTTTTCTTGTCGGGTGGTGCACCGATGGTAAATTTTATTATTTCGTGTGTTTGTGCGGTTTATGGATATTGTGATATTTCAATTTTGAACGGCACGCGCAATCAGTGGACAAACATACTGACGCACCACCCCCGCATGAACATGATTTCTATGAATTGCGACATTGATACGGCGAGCAATCATCCGCGATTCGCGGATATATTCCGATCGGCTTTACGGCCATCAACTACATCCGCACTCGTGCGCTCCCCCGATGGTGTGGACGTTAATTAACTGGACTTTTATATTCGAGTTATTTACTGAAATGATTGCAATAACAACAACAAACGGGGGATTTATTTCCGGTAATATTTGTCGAAATGTTACGCTGAATAATTGAGGCGTGGGCCCGTGCAATATTTATTTATTCGCAACTCTATTTGTGGAGGATAGTGAGGTGGGTAGTGGAAATTTGGGGCGGCGTGGATACAATGCCACAAAATCAATATCCATTTGTGTATCACTCGCCGGGGGGTATCACACCATTGCCGGCCGTCGCCCACGACCACTCCAAAAGAAATAAAAGTTTCAAACGGTGCGGTCGTAAATTGCGTTTGACCATGGACAAAAGGCAAGAGGAAACAATAAAATTAGCTAAAGCCCGCAGCGGCGGCGGCGTGTGTTTCAGTGATGCCGACCCGAAGGAAAACCTCGACGACGATGCGAGCGGCCGCTGGCACGAAGCAACAAGACGGACTATAAACATTGAAATTGCATGCTAAAACGCAGAAAAAACATCGTAAAAATGTGAAAAACACTAAAGTCGAGTTATACATAAATCACAAATAAACAAACACATTGGGCACAATGCCTTTGCGTCGGTCACATGTTGGAAACACATTAAAACTGCACACTTCCGCGCTGCAATCGAAAGTTATGCCATTGCAGAGAATTACAGGCATTTCCGAGTGTAGATCATTCGAATTTTCCAAGGATTTCCGGGTATTTTTATTCGCAATTTTTTAACCGTAATTTACCCAGCAGTACGGTGACATGCATAAAGGAAACTCATGAAAATTGCAAGATACACATTTCCGAAGCCGCTATTACGGGCAATGCTCATATGAAGCTGTAAAAGAGTGAAAGATATCAATGTCAATGTCGACTTACAGCATCGATGCTCGCAGATCGAACGGGGCTCACCCTTTGCCGGCGATGATGCGCGGTAAAAGGCGATCGGCGAGGCATTCCCTGATATCCTTATAATATAATACCCTTTTCCTTTTTCATCCGCTCGTCGGCGAGCGCTCCTATTTTGCCATTTTTCAACGCGCGCACACGAATTTTTATATCCGCGAATCTTCCACTATGGAACAGAACGCTCGGCGCTGGGAGCCTCTTCGAGCCGAATAAGAACGTAAATCATACGAGCCATAATGCGAGCAACCCGAAATTTCCTCCTTTTACATAAGCACGCGAATATGGTGCGTATCTTCAAGTAGCGTGTGCCGCGAGTAACTACACGCACTGGATGTTTCAGAAAAATGAATATCCTATAAAAATCTGTTGAAATTACTTTATATTCCAGAATTTCATTGATAGTAAATATAAAAATGTGATTTATTTTTGTATTTTGACCCGGGAACTAATTTTTTAATGAGGAGCACGAAAATATTTGTGAATATTTTGAGACACTCGGTTTATTGTTGTGGTGGTAGAATGCAGACAAGTAAATTTAACTTTCAAGTGTCATTTGACAAGTTAGACAAATCATTACTCATATTTATCTGCATCCCTTCTTGCTAAAAATACATTTTTTGCTTACACAAACCTGAATGAATTATGGCAGGGCCAAGAAGTGTGCTCAGTGACCCACATAGAAAACTACAATTATGTTAAAATCACTCTCTCCGCAAATGCTGGTTACCCGAAAGCAATTCAGCTCCTTGTTCAAAAATTGCCGTCTCATTTGCGCGTGATTGCGATAGCGAAGAATGATAGAACTTATTACAGCAAATTTGCGAATAATATAAAGTTATGCACCGCCGAAATCAATACTGGAGTGCAAAACAGTGCCGAATTATGAGGTTTTCGATGATCTTCAGCCGCGCGCTCACAATGGCTGCGACGATTGCCACCGCAAAGTTCTCGCAAGTGAAACAGTCGTAACAGTTTCGCGAGCGCGCGCCCCCGCAACTTTCCAGCGATAAACAAGCTCGGCGCAATTAATATCGCGTAAAATTCGACCCTGATTGTGGGGCAGATAGCGAGCGCGTCGAATGTGCAGATACGATCGAAACTTGTAACCGGTAACCGTTTCGGTCCCAAGTTTGTTTTAGTTAGGCTCGGCGCGCGCCCGCGTTCGAATCGCTTGCTTCACGGTTGTCCTATTTCCCTTTTTACTGCGAATGATGGTAATAATGCCTCGCCAACGCCACTCCATCGCCGCCGCCCCGCTGGCGGCGCTCGCAATCGGCACAGGTGCGCTCGGTGCTCAATAAACTCGCAGGCACAATTGCAAATTGCGACATAAATTCCAAATCAAATTGTGCATGTGGCATGCGGGGCCCTCTGCGGCTGTCACTAGTTGCTTCATGCGCGCCGCACGGTCATTCCCATTGTAAACCGATAGTCGGGCCAATAAAGTATGAAACGCACGTTTGAGGACGTGAAGCGTACGGAAACTAATGAAAAACAGACCGCCGGCCTCGGTGTAAGTGTGTCTCCTATTGATTGCTCTTGCTTGCCACCATGCCACCACGCGTCCAATCAACCATTCGGAAAGCTTTTCAATGGTTACGATAAATTGCCGAGCACGGTCTGAGTTGCATTGCCGCGCTTGTCACTGAGATGTGTCTCGAAGAATTGAATGCTGATAATAAAATACGTCGAGAAAACTTGAAAGAACTGCAAGGAGAAGTTGATGTGATATGAGAAAATATCAACGAGACAATTTTATACCACGTAGAGCAGGTTGTAGTCCAGGACGACAAATCCAGCCATGTCGAATTTGACGCGTTGATGAAGACATTCAATCGAATAGGAATAAATATCCTTAGCGCATGCGTCACTCACGAACCGACGCAACTTGTGTAAAAGCGGCCCGATTCTATCCACCTTAAACATTTCAATCTCATTTCTCACGAATTTCGATAATTGGATCAAATCTCTGGTCGTCCAGTGGGAGTTTAAGTTCTTACCTCAGCGGTCACATTCTCGCAGGCCCTGACCAAGTTGATGGTCTCCACACCCTCATCCAGCAGCCATAAAAGCGGACACAAATAATGCAGGAACCCGCATCCCTCGCAACTCTTCGTCAGCGCCAAGTACAAGTAGAACGTGTGCTGGAAAATGTCCACGGCTGTTTGGATCATGGACAACAAAAGCGTGAACGACAGGGCGTCGTGAATATTCTTACACACGTTGCACAATTTAAAGTGCACCCGTGTTAGTCGCTGCAATCGTGCGCGACGTGTCGCCTCCTCCTTGACATCGTCCCCGCGGCCCGGATGCATTAATTCCGTCAAGGCCCCGTTTATCTTTTGGAAGCGCATGGTGACGAACGTGATGAGCATCGCGAATTGATATTTGCACATGGTTTTCGCCAGCGTCGCAATGAACGTGGTGCATTTTTGCGGATAGTTTAAGTCGACGATTAGGGGCACGATGGCGGAGCGCGCCACCACCGAACCCAGCAGGAAGACGATCATCCACATGTTGGGTGTGTACAGCTCGTCGGAGCCAATGCGCAGCTCCTGCATGTCGATGTCCAGCCGGGCGATATTGTTCAGGCCGGTGACGAGCGCCCCGCGGTAGCGGAAGGAGAAGACGATTATCAGCATTTGGCAGGCAACGATGGTCGTCACCCACAGGATGACGAGGTTGCGCGGCTCGGACACGTTGGTCGGCTGCTCCGGAAAGGTCGCGCGCGAATAGACGCAGAGGCACGCGTAGACGACGAAGTAGAAGATGGTGTAGTAGATGTCGGAGCGGCGGACCAGCAGCCGCCCGGAGATCTGCATCGGCAGCATCCCAGTCAATTTGTAGAGAACGTAGACGGGCAGAAAGCGCCTGTGGAGACGCGCGATGTACTCCGAACTGTTTGCCACTTTTGCCAGCGACATTATAATGCTATCAGCGGAGTGCTCGCAAGGAAAGGAAACTGTCGCTTTGAAGTTCAAGGGGAAACTGAACATCAAAACGAGAATCGAAACTCTCAAAAACTTGATTAATGCCGCACGCGACGCTGGCTATTACTTATCATCTCACCAAAATTATAAAAGTGTATTAGAGTCGCAACCAGATGAAAAAAGACATCAGTATGTTATCAAGCCCACCCCGAATGAGTCCATGCGCCACGAGGAACTCATTAACCAACATTACATAATGGAAACTTGATGCCCTTGTTCAAATTAATCATTTTACGCTCCGACAACAGATCAGATAACTTCCAAGGAAAATTAACGACATTGAATTTTTGAAAAATTCCAATTCTCGAAGTCTTACCAGAAATCATCCCTTCCGACATCAGTTGCAGCTACTTCGATAAATTAATATCGCCAATTTGAATATTGTGACACCGGAGCGGCCTACGAAATACATAGTCGTGGGACATAATTGAATATGGCGTTTTCAAATGATTTGCCCATTAATCAGGACCGAAATGGACATATCGCCGACGGCGCTAATCGGTTACGACGAGCCCAGCATTATGAATTATTGACTAATGGACTAATTGATCGGGCTTACTGACCGGTTAATACCACGTTTTATATGTTGATTTACAGCCGGCAGGTGAGCGTATCAGCGACGGGCGACGCTTGACCGCCAACACGTCAATGCTTTTAAGCTGGTAATTCTCTTAAGCACATTGATATTGCAGGCTCATCGCAACAGTGCATTAGTGACGGAGAACATGCACACGTATTAATTGTCTAAGACTATTTAAGTCTTTAAGATAATAAATTTTTACGCGTGAATAATAATAATAATAATAGCAATGTCTTATTGTCTCCGCGTGGACTTTAAGATGTGCAGACGCAGCGCAATTCCTCACGGCTCCTCGAGTTTCCGGCAAGCTCCCATGGTACTCTTAATTAATTCACTCGCTAACTACCCAAGCAACTACAGCGCTGGCACCTAGTTGATATTATTAAGTGGTAGCCTGCGTGAAGTAGTGTTAATCCAATTAATTAGTTCCATAAATCTGTCTACACTTGTACTCGGTTATTATTACAATTTTATTATGGGATTGGGTTCAAGTTACCCTCGTTATGAATTATCATTTAATGCGATTTCAAGCGAACGTATTTTTGCGAAATTAATTGCCAATAATTTATTATGGTACGTTTAACGTTTCGACTCTTTTTATATACCATTTGATGTGCGAAATTAATTGGAGTAAATCGATGGGAAAATCTTGGGGTTTGCCCCGAACGTAACTTAACTAATGCACTAATAACCGAATAGACTACAGACGGCTCGAGCGGTAATTTAATGTTATCGCCGTTTTAGTGAATAGTTATTATAGTTAATTGGAAAAGTTTCGCCAAGGGTGCGTACGCGCTAGCTCACGAAGATGCACACACGTTCTGGGGCGCGCATCCCAGGTGGAAATCCCGGCGATATTACAGCGTGCGCCCGAGATACTAACATATAGCCGGCGCTGCCGCCGCCCGGCTCTTCGGTGAGAATTTTGATGGTAAGGTGATTCGTTGCCGCGGCAAGTATGTGGCGCAGGGACTTGTGAAATATACCGATGGTAACGCAGGGATGACACATCTTGTTAATGCGTCGCATTCCCATATCCGCCACGCCTCGACCTGAACTCGTATTCGTGACTATAAGATTCTATGTGTAAGAACTGATAGATTAAAAGTGCCAGTATAATTATATTCGATGTGTAACTCGCGACTAGTCAAACAAAGTCGTTGGTAACGTTCTAATTCGGGTCTCATTTTTGAAGTGAAAACTTCTTTAGAATCGTTGTGATTTCAAAATTAATAAAACGGCACTAAAACATTTTAAATAGTTCAAGCGTTGTTCTAAATAGTAGATGCATTGCAGGTTTGTTTGGTGTTCATCTCTACCTGCTTATCGGGGTTTGTGTATAAACAACTTTTTTATCGCCTTGAACCAGCTCCATGCTACGCTCGCGCTACAAACGTTCGCACGTTTTAGTCAGTTCTTACCTGCACGCGGCTCGGCACTTTTCTTTCTTACATTGCAATTAAATGAATTGCATTGCAATTTATCGATAAAATCGGCATAAATATTAACACTTAATAACAATAGACGTGTTTAGTGTTTTTCTAACAATGATTTGTACGTGAAATGATCACAAAACTTGTATCTTCATTTGTGCGTTAGTGGTCCGTCGGTTATTGAATTTTTTCGATGCTGGTGAGTATTGGAACGGATTTAATCAGTATGCATCATAGTGCGAGTTCTAACAACCGTGTTCTTTCTGTTTTAGTACTTTGATTATCTGCTACGTTGGTAAGTTTTTAAATATTATTACATCATTATTATATTTTTGTCTTTAATCCCGTGTAACAAGAGTACCGTAATAACACAAAATTGTCGCGAGCCGTCGGCTGCGTTTTCGGTTCACCGTACCTCTCAGCTCGCATTGTTTTTGCAATCTTAAGATCATAAGAATTAATTTTGCAATCCAATTGATGCCCGAAAACTATTTGTAAAACGCGAACATTGATCTTCCGCATTTGGGTGTGCGTTGTTTTATTTATCCATCGCGACTAAAAGTGCTAAAAACTGACATTTTGCAATTTTTGCCCATTTTATTCAATCGCGAATATCTCGTAAACTAAAAGAGATAAATAAGATCTGATCGCAGTGTCTTAATCTACGGACTGTTCTCTATAAGATAAGATAGTTGAAACGGAAATCTGTGAGATAAATTGTTAATTCTTAAGAAAAAATGCCAAGGGGGTGCTTGATACTTTCTTTCGGCGATTTTTAAAAATTCATATCTGTTAAACTAAAAGCGATAGCCACCACCAAATTGCTGATTATGAAAGATTGGAAAATTCTTTGTCAGATAAAAATATAAAACAATTATATTTCCTACAGTAAAAGGCCGAAAACGCGACTAAAAGTGCTAAAAGTGACATTTCTCAAATTTTGTCAATTTTCTTTAATCGCGAATATCTCGTAAACTAAAAGAGATAATTAAGATCTGATCGCAGCGTTTAAATCTACGGACTGTTCTCTATAAGATAGGATAGTTAAAACGGAAATCTGAGAGATGAAATTTTAATACCTAAGAAAAAATGCCAAGGGGGTGCTTGATACTTTTTTCGACGATTTTTAAAAATTCATATCTCTGAAACTAAATGCGATAGCCTCCAACAAATTGCAGATTATGAAAGATTGGAAAATTCTCTGTCAGATAAAAATATAAAACAATTATATTTCCTACAGTAAAAGGCCGAAAAACGCTACTAAAAGTGCTAAAAGTGACATTTCTCAAATTTTGCCAATTTTCTTTAATCGCGAATATCTCGTAAACTAAAAGAGATAATTAAGATCTGATCGCAGCGTTTTAATCTACGGACTGTTCTCTATAAGATAGGATAGTTAAAACGGAAATCTGAGAGATGAAATTTTAATACTTAAGAAAAAATGCCAAGGGGGTGCTTGATACTTTTTTCGACGATTTTAAAAATTCATATCTCTGAAACTAAATGCGATAGCCACCAACAAATTGCTGATTATGAAAGATTGGAAAATTCTCTGTCAGATAAAAATATAAAACAATTATATTTCCTACAGTAAAAGGCCGAAAAACGCGACTAAAAGTGCTAAAAGTGACATTTCTCAAATTTTGCCAATTTTCTTTAATCGCGAATATCTCGTAAACTAAAAGAGATAATTAAGATCTGATCGCAGCGTTTAAATCTACGGACTGTTCTCTATAAGATAGGATAGTTAAAACGGAAATCTGAGAGATGAAATTTTAATACCTAAGAAAAAATGCCAAGGGGGTGCTTGATACTTTTTTCGACGATTTTAAAAATTCATATCTCTGAAACTAAATGCGATAGCCTCCAACAAATTGCAGATTATGAAAGATTGGAAAATTCTCTGTCAGATAAAAATATAAAACAATTATATTTCCTACAGTAAAAGGCCGAAAAACGCGACTAAAAGTGCGAAAAGTGACATTTCTCAAATTTTGCCAATTTTCTTTAATCGCGAATATCTCGTAATCTAAAAGAGATAATTAAGATCTGATCGCAGCGTTTTAATCTACGGACTGTTCTCTATAAGATAGGATAGTTAAAACGGAAATCTGAGAGATGAAATTTTAATACCTAAGAAAAAATGCCAAGGGGGTGCTTGATACTTTTTTCGACGATTTTTAAAATTCATATCTCTGAAACTAAATGCGATAGCCACCAACAAATTGCTGATTATGAAAGATTGGAAAATTCTCTGTCAGATAAAAATATAAAACAATTATATTTCCTACAGTAAAAGGCCGAAAAACGCGATTAAAAGTGCTAAAAGTGACATTTCTCAAATTTTGCCAATTTTCTTTAATCGCGAATATCTCGTAAACTAAAAGAGATAATTAAGATCTGATCGCAGCGTTTAAATCTACGGACTGTTCTCTATAAGATAGGATAGTTAAAACGGAAATCTGAGAGATGAAATTTTAATCCTTAAGAAAAAATGCCAAGGGGGTGCTTGATACTTTTTTCGGCGATTTTTAAAAATTCATATCTGTTAAACTAAAAGCGATAGCCACCACCAAATTGCTGATTATGAAAGATTGGAAAATTCTTTGTCAGATAAAAATATAAAACAATTATATTTCCTACAGTAAAGGCCGAAAAACGCGACTAAAAGTGCTAAAAGTGACATTTCTCAAATTTTGTCAATTTTCTTTAATCGCGAATATCTCGTAAACTAAAAGAGATAATTAAGATCTGATCGCAGCGTTTTAATCTACGGACTGTTCTCTATAAGATAGGATAGTTAAATCGGAAATCTGAGAGATGAAATTTTAATATCTAAGAAAAAATGCCAAGGGGGTGCTTGATACTTTTTTCGACGATTTTTAAAAATTGATATCTCTGAAACTAAATGCGATAGCCACCAACAAATTGCTGATTATGAAAGATTGGAAAATTCTCTGTCAGATAAAAATATAAAACAATTATATTTCCTACAGTAAAAGGCCGAAAAACGCGACTAAAAGTGCTAAAAGTGACATTTCTCAAATTTTGTCAATTTTCTTTAATCGCGAATATCTCGTAAACTAAAAGAGATAATTAAGATCTGATCGCAGCGTTTTAATCTACGGACTGTTCTCTATAAGATAGGATAGTTAAATCGGAAATCTGAGAGATGAAATTTTAATACCTAAGAAAAAATGCCAAGGGGGTGCTTGATACTTTTTTCGACGATTTTAAAAATTGATATCTCTGAAACTAAATGCGATAGCCACCAACAAATTGCTGATTATGAAAGATTGGAAAATTCTCTGTCAGATAAAAATATAAAACAATTATATTTCCTACAGTAAAAGGCCGAAAAACGCGACTAAAAGTGCTAAAAGTGACATTTCTCAAATTTTGCCAATTTTCTTTAATCGCGAATATCTCGTAATCTAAAAGAGATAATTAAGATCTGATCGCAGCGTTTTAATCTACGGACTGTTCTCTATAAGATAGGATAGTTAAAACGGAAATCTGAGAGATGAAATTTTAATACCTAAGAAAAAATGCCAAGGGGGTGCTTGATACTTTTTTCGACGATTTTAAAAATTCATATCTCTGAAACTAAATGCGATAGCCTCCAACAAATTGCTGATTATGAAAGATTGGAAAATTCTCTGTCAGATAAAAATATAAAACAATTATATTTCCTACAGTAAAAGGCCGAAAAACGCGACTAAAAGTGCTCAAAAGTGACATTTCTCAAATTTTGCCAATTTTCTTTAATCGCGAATATCTCGTAAACTAAAAGAGATAATTAAGATCTGATCGCAGCGTTTAAATCTACGGACTGTTCTCTATAAGATAGGATAGTTAAAACGGAAATCTGAGAGATGAAATTTTAATCCTTAAGAAAAAATGCCAAGGGGGTGCTTGATACTTTTTCGGCGATTTTAAAAATTCATATCTGTTAAACTAAAAGCGATAGCCACCACCAAATTGCTGATTATGAAAGATTGGAAAATTCTTTGTCAGATAAAAATATAAAACAATTATATTTCCTACAGTAAAAGGCCGAAAAACGCGACTAAAAGTGCTAAAAGTGACATTTCTCAAATTTTGTCAATTTTCTTTAATCGCGAATATCTCGTAAACTAAAAGAGATAATTAAGATCTGATCGCAGCGTTTTAATCTACGGACTGTTCTCTATAAGATAGGATAGTTAAATCGGAAATCTGAGAGATGAAATTTTAATACCTAAGAAAAAAATGCCAAGGGGGTGCTTGATACTTTTTTCGACGATTTTTAAAAATTGATATCTCTGAAACTAAATGCGATAGCCACCAACAAATTGCTGATTATGAAAGATTGGAAAATTCTCTGTCAGATAAAAATATAAAACAATTATATTTCCTACAGTAAAAGGCCGAAAAACGCGACTAAAAGTGCTAAAAAGTGACATTTCTCAAATTTTGTCAATTTTCTTTAATCGCGAATATCTCGTAAACTAAAAGAGATAATTAAGATCTGATCGCAGCGTTTTAATCTACGGACTGTTCTCTATAAGATAGGATAGTTAAATCGGAAATCTGAGA